GTTATTCATGACGGATTATCTGGTTAATTAGTAGATAATGATGCGATGATAGATGGGAAAGAACGATAAGATGTTATCTCTCGTTGTCAAGCTCAGACTCTCGCCTCAGTTTGCTGCCATTCGAAAGCACCTTAAATCCTTTACTATCGCTCGCGGGTTCTTCTTTCCAATCGGAAATAAACGCGAGGGAAACGAATTAGCTCGGTCGTACGTATAAATAGTAACGTAAGAAAGAGAGAAAGAAAGAGAGAGAGAGAAAGAGAGAGAAAGAGAGAGAGAGAGAGATATGACGAATCGCACGCACGCGTCCGCGGAATGCGTATCGTGCACGAGTAACTTGTGTACCGCAAAGTTAAACCAACGAAGTCACGCCTGGTAAGCTTACAACTATAATTTATATTTCGAGCTAACGTTCGCTAATGTGAAAAAAATAATGTTCTCCTTATAATAAAATATTTTTAGCCGCTTGAAATTGCGCGAGAAAAAGAAGGATAAAGATGTCGGTACGACAAATTCGAACGAATTCCGTCCTCGTAGGTATTTTTGATTTATCGCGGGAAGAACGCTTCTTCGAGCACGAAGGCGATATGAGACGAAGCACGAATTATGAGACATGAAGAAGGTGTGAAGTCACGTTTAGGGAGCGAGTGTGGAACGAGCGTGGCTGACGGAATTATTATTCTCGTTTCTCGACCGTTTCTGTCCGATGTCTCCCTTTTCAGCCGATTCTCTCGGCTTTCTCATGCAAGGTAGCTCGTTATTATATTTCTGCGTATGGGGACATCATCGGAAATGTTTGTTTGTTCAATATTCAGTGGAAACTCATAAGTATATATAAAGTCATATGGAAGTTAGAACTCTGTCAATGTTTAAGCGATTCTTGTAGCTAAAACGTTGTAGCTGATGACAGATAATTCACTGTGTCGATAAAAAAAGATGCATCTTAATTAAATTAGCTATTTTTCGGTAGAACATTTTTTTTAATTCTTAATTGAAGTAATGTTTTAATTAGAATTGTGAATATGCAATTTCTGTAACTTCACTTTCGTTTCATTGTTATACTTTTAATTATAATATATTTTCTTCAAAATTATTTAAGAGTTTTCAAAATTCAAATTACAGTATAGTAAATTATGACTATTTTTCTTGTATAAGCGAATGTGTTGTTTTTTTTTTAATTAGAATTGATAATTCCTTTTATTACTTCAAAAATGCTAATTTTTTACTTATGTCACTTCTATCAACGCAATGGATTACAAATGTGTGTAGAAAAAGTTTGTAGAAGATACTTCATTATTGTACTATCGAGTTTATTTGAGAATAATCTAAAATGCTAAAAAGTATTTAGCACGGTAGATTTATGTGCAATAAAGTCATCACGTTTGAGAGATCATGAAAAGATGTAAAAACTTGGTGGAACGAAAGAAAATCTTCGAAATTCTGTTCTTGGGAGAATTCACTCAGTTGTCATCGGCCAAAAACCATGAATTGTCTCGCAGCTCTTCCCGAGAATGTTAGTCCCGTTATTCGTTGCTTCCTCTGATTTTTATTTTTTTAACGACAGAGGAAGACTCGATAAAATATGGCATCTATCCGACCTCTATTTGTTCTATATATTTTTATGTCTGATGTATTCAAATAACTCAATCCCCCCGTAAATTCTTTTTATAATATATTTATTGCGAGATACATCACTAAGAAATAAAATAGTGGTTATTTATTTCACATTCTTTTGAAAAAGTGTGATCCAATCTTATATTTATTTGTTTTCTTACTTATTTTAATCTTTGCCCTGCGGCATAGGATGGCTTCCGATATAGAGAATTTACATTTATATTTTTTCATCTTGTCTAATACGTCTAATATATATATATATATATATCAATCACATCTATGTTATATATCAAAGAATGGTTCTTTTTTATGAGATTATAACTTGACGCCAGTTATTGATATTAAATCTTTCATACAATTGATACACTTGGAAATTAAAGAAGATAGAAAGACTCAATGAAATTACAAAGAGGACTTATTTTTAGATGTATCTCATATATATGTGTGTGTGTGTGTGTGTGTGTGTGTGTGTGTGTGTGTGTGTGTGTGTAATAATTAAAATAT